GGACTCGTATCGGTAAAGTTTCTTCGGTAAGAGTTTTAACGGAAAATTAAGTAACGAACGGAGACGTAACAATATATTTCAGCTGTTAATCGAACACGGTAAAATCCGAGCTAAGCCTTGATATTAAAACACACATAAGATCGATATTTCAACTGTTAATCGAACACAGTAAAATCCAAGCTAAGCCTTGATACTAAAACACATATAAACTATATTTCAGCTGTTAATCGAACACAGTAAAATCCAAGCTAAGCCTTGATACTAAAACTCATATAAACTATATTTCAGCTGTTAATCGAACACAGTAAAATCCAAGCTAAGCCTTGATACTAAAACTCATATAAGCCATATTTCAGCTGTTAATCGAACACAGTAAAATTCAAGCTAAGCCTTGATACTAAAACTCATATAAACTATATTTCAGCTGTTAATCGAGCACAGTAAAATCCGAGCTAAGTCTTGATATTACAACACAAATAAGGTCGATATATCAGCTGTTAATCGAACACAGTAAAATCCAAGCCTTGATATTAAAACACACTTAAGATATATTTCAGCTGTTAATCGAACACAGTAAAATCCGATCTAAAGCGTAAAATTAAGGTAAACATGAGATATAGTTACGACAGTTAATTTTATTTATTATTTTCTTAAGATAAAATGTGCTCCTCAATGGCACAGCGACATGTCTGCGGATTTACAACGCTAGAAACCGGGTTTTGATACCTGTGGTGGGCAGAGCACAGATAGCCCATTGTGCAGCTTTGTGCTTAACTACATACAAACGATAAAATTTTCCAACTTATATATTTTTTTTTCTGTGAATAAGTTATTAAGTACTTAAAAACAGCCAGAATAAACAGTATTATCTTCAAAATATCCCTACACACATTTAGCAGAGATAAACAATATTGTCAAACAAAAAATGTCCCCTTTAAACTTGGCAGGGATAAACAATAGTATTAACCAAACTGCCCCCATCTTATCTCTTGTTTTCTTTAAGCTCTTATATTAATTATCTTTAATGTTTTCTAGACTTTTGTTACTTCGCTGTGGGATTAAGAAGCACACGCATTACCAGAAGAATTCAGTTTTTTTTTGACATAATTTATTAGATTAGAAAACCGATTTTTTTTTTCGTAAACTTAAATTATTGAATCCAGCAGTTGATCGCTGGTAACATGGCAACAAAAGAATCAACATATTAATCATAATACATGAATTTTGATAATTTACATGAAAACAAAAACAAATGACGCGCATTTCCTTTGTTTTTGTTGTTGTTTTGGTATGCTTTGTTTGTTTGTTTTTAATTATGCACAAGGGCTATCTGTGCTCTGCCCACCACGGGTATCGAAACCCGGATTTTAGCGTTGTAAGTCCGCAGACATACCGCTGTGCCACTGTGGGGCGTTTTGGTATGCAAAATAGAAAGATTAGCTAAAAAAAAAACAACTTTTAAATTTAGAGAACACAGGGGTGGTTGATATTTATGAAGACCAAAGACGTTTTTTCTGTTTCAAACGGAAATGTTAACTGCAGAAAAACAATCTGTCTGTGAACCTTGGTGGTCACTATCAGGTCACTGACCGCTTGACCATCATGGAAAGTTCTTTGACCTATCGTCTGGCTTTCTAAGTCCAATGACCTTAGAAAGTTTGGTAACGAGATGCATTAAGAATTCAACCGAGTTTGTGAATTAAAAACATAAACACTTACACACAAATAAGACTTTTAAAGTTGGACATATAATTAATCATGAAAAGTTCCCCAGAGGCAGTAAAAGTTAGGGCTTATAATACTAAAATTTGGTGTTTGATTCCTACAGTGGGCAGAGCGCAAATGGCTCATTGTGTTATTTTGCACTTAAAACAAAACAAACGAACAAAAATTAATCATCAACACTTTCAAATAAATGAAATCGTCCATCTCCAAATTTATAAATCTCGTATCTTAAACGATCATTTGCTCGCTGGTTGATAAAAAATCTATTCGCATCATGGCGCTGATGTCCAATTATAAATTAGTTTAGGACATTGTTAACAAGTTAATGAATCTAAACAATAATTGAATACAACATCCCGATAGGTCTCTAACAATAATTGAATTAATTAACACTCAACAAATATTGGACACAAATTGATGATAAAAATATTGACAGTAATCGAAACCGTATGACATCAACATGAGGTTAATAATAACTATACAAGAACGATGAAAAAGTAAATTTAGAAAATCCATATTATATCTGCGAGTGCAATTGATTTAATTTGAAAATTATACGAAAAATAAATAAAATAAAATGTAAACTGTGGCCACAAATACAATTTAGCACACGTGTTGGTGTTATGTGTCACAATATTGGCCTTCTGTAAAGTTAGTTATCAGTTTAAGCATGAAATATGTGAAGGTCGTGACTTTTTTATTTTTCTTCTACTTCGATCCACAAATAAGAAAACTTAGAGGTTTATCTTTAGGCCATTAATCTGATTAGATAGGCTAGACTGACTGGACACATCTTATGAGGTCATTCGAGGGTCATGAGTAGCTTCCGGATTCTAACTATATAAAAGCTAACAGCCTCAATCATTCCGGACAGCTTGTGGAACACTATCAGGTATACTTCTAAGATAGTTGAATTAGGCTCTGCTTCTATGAATTGTTTTGTTTTCCGCTTTATAATTTCAATATTAGTAGCTTTACAGTCGTTGAATGTTAACAATAATTTTAATAGGTGATTCGTTGCTCTAATTCTTAAACTTTGTTATGTCAGTCTTATTTATGATTGGTTAACAATTGTTTTGACAATGTTTACTTAGTGAGTCTTAACAATAGAAATATTTCAGATTGTTAAAGCGAAACACTCGTAACATCCAATAGTTTCGTTTCGGGTTTACTTACTGATTAAGTACATTTTTTTTACAAGTTACTGCTTTTACAGTAAGTAAGTTTTGTTTTTTAGAACAGGTACGACGTTTCGATCACTGGAGTGATCATTCTCAAGTATAAAAGTAACTTGTAATATATACTCATACCTTTTAATGACTAATAACCATTATGATTTAAGTGTGACAAACAGCTGCCTCCTAGTGGCACAGTGGTAAGTCTGCGGGCTAATAACAGTAGAACGGTTTCAAAATAATAATAACTAGTCTGCTTACTAAGGCTTCACTGCTCTCCATTTTAAATTATATTAAAACTGCCTTGTGCTAGTAGACGTAACTAAGTTAAGAACTGTCATATAAGGTTATATAGTTTAAAAAGATTTGTTTGTGTCTACCTCTTGTCCAACCGCCCACAGTGGCATAGCAGTATGTCTACGGACATACAACGCTAGAAATCGGGTTTCGATACCCGTGGTGAGCACAGCACAGACAGCCCATTGTGTAGCATTGCGTTTAACAACAGACAAACAGCTGCAAATGAAAGCCTCAAAAATTCTCTATTCATGCTATTTTAGGAACAAATAAGAATGACAGTTTATCAAAACCTAGCTATTAAAACAAATTAATGGCTGTAACTCTTAGAGAATTTGAACTTTTTAGCATAGGTTTAGTCCAATCTCATTCTTTTATGCAGGGCCGTGGGTGGCCCAGATTGTGTGTTAAAGGGTCTCTAACCGCTAAAAAAAACTACACACTTTGGGACTGTGAGTGCGTTATAAGAGCGACAGTTGAATACAATTATTCGTGCCAGATAAGAGTAGCCCAAAAACTGGCGGTGGGTGATGCTTTCTGGCTGCCTTCCTTTTAATTTAGTCAAATGCACAGATAAACTTTAGGTTACTTTACACGAAAATTCTTAACAATGACAACAAAGTTTTAAATATTAATTCATTTTATCCAATAACTCGGTTTTCTTTATTATTTTAAAAGGCTATTAACTAAATGATATAATTGTGCTGTGGAATTTTGCTGACGTGTATTTTCTCTGGAAAAAAATTTGAAAGTGCAAAGTTCATAATGTTATTACTTATCCTATAATACTGTTATTAAACCTAATTGTCTCGTGAGCTCGTGTAGGATAAGGATTAATAATCGTACATTAGATATAAATGATATTTAACGTGGAACTTTTTAACAGGACCAAAATGAGAAAATCTTGCATTATTCAATTTCTGGTGCTTTTCTTGGCAACTTCAGGAATCCAAGGGTCAAAGGAGGTAAAACCAAAACGTAAGTTAACCAAACATATATTTTATTAAAATTAGACTGATATATAATATAGTTAACATATTAACAGTTTATTGTCAACGATTGCGTACATACTATTAGTAACAGACTACCGTAAAGAAAAAAATATCTTACATAATGTTAAGACTATCGTTAAGAATCTTGTACATTGCACTTTACAAACTTTTTAGTAAATGTTTTTTGTTTTGTTGTTGTTGTTGTTATTAATTTGATAGTCAAAATTTTAATGAACTTTAATTTTACGCTTTTTATTACTTCTATCTTTGTCTTTGGTGTTTTTTTTTAAAGGAACTGCAACATCTCAGAAAGGTATTGAGAGTTCTGACGTCAGTTGTATAATATTTAATATTTATTTAAACAGCCGGATTATATTCACTACTGGGACTGTTAGAAATCGCTAATAATGTCACTCGACAATGTGTAGCAGATGACTTACGGCAGGGAGTGTGTATGAGTTCTACAACATGTGAGAGTCAGGGTGGAAAAACTTCTGGGTCCTGTTCTTTCGGGTTGGAAACATGCTGCGTTTGTAAGTGACTATTTCATATTTCAAACCTCTTTAAAGGCTAAAATAAAACACTCTGTTAACCATGACAACCACATCTAGTATCTCTTTCAGCAATTACATTTTAGGTTTCTTTATTTTTCTTGTATTCGGGGAAACTCGTGAGGATGACGTTGTAACGTCGAAACATGTAGAGCCGTCAACTTTTTGAAGGGCATAGATAGGCCTAAATAAAATGTTTTTAATTGTGTACCAGTTTAACGTTGAATATTATTTATGATTTTAACTTTATACACAAGTGCCAAAATACTATAACAAGAATGTTGTATGATCATAATAAAAATGATTAGAAAGTCATAGTAAATAAATTAAGCTATAGTATAATTCACTTATTTTTTCTACCCTCCATTAATAAGATTTGATATATTTATAGGCCTACGTGGTTTGCAAATATATGTCTTGTGTTTAAAATAAAATATTCAGTGATGTAGAAAATACAATTCATAACAAATATTACATTTTCGCGAGTTAAAATAATAAGGTTGATAAATATACACTTTAATTTTGTTTAAGTTTAAAATTGTTTATAAAACTTTTTCATTGTATAGACATTCAACTTATTAGGGTTAGGTTTTCTTAGATAACTCACCAGTAATCCTTCAGCGGCGTCTGACGGTTTAAATCTTTACTCCAAAATCAAGGGCATAAATATGAAGGAAAGTATTGTATTCCTTTTTGGTACAGTGAAGCTAGAGCAATCATAAGAGCTGTTAGTTAAATATGCACTTTCATTTCAATATGGAAAACTTATTTTAGAAATTTTCAGTCACGCTGCTAAAACTTCACCTTTGTTTTAATATTTACTTCCAAAGAGATTAGGTGGACAATCTCATTTCTACAAAACTAAACAGACTTGCATTTTAATTGTATTTGTACACGGTAAAGGTGTTTATACACGACTAAGAGATGTTTCATAATATGAATGTTTCGTTAAAACATTTATTTTAAATTAAAAGATAAAAACATTTCAACTTAAAACTGCCCTTAGTTGAAGTCACCTGTGGAGGGGAAGTAAACCAGAATAATTCCATTATCGTCAGTCCGAACTATCCAAACAACTTCCTTAATAGTAGACGATGTGACATAAGAATCAAACGACCTAGTCCGGACATTGTTCAGGTCCGGTTGGACTTCGTGGAGTTTGTTCTGCAACAGCCTACTTTAACTGTCTGTAATCGTGACCAGTTTGTCGTTCTCGGATTCCATAATGTTCCTATAATCTGTGGCATCAATACTGGACAACACAGTAAGTATAGATCCATCCCCTTTGTATAAATGTTATCATCTTTGGCTTACATGATGTTCATATAATCTGTGGTGACAACACAGGACAAATAATATGGTTTAATGTTAACCAAGCAACACAGTGGATTTAACTGTTATAGTTTAAAGTTAACCAAGCAGTACAGTGGATTTAAGTGTTATAGTTTTGTTTTAACCAAGCAGTACAGTAGATTTTAGTGTTATAGTTTTGTTTTAACCAAGCAGTACAGTGGATTTAAGTGTTATAGTTTTGTTTTAACCAAGCAGTACAGTAGATGTAAGTGTTATAGTTTTGTTTTAACCAAGCAGTACAGTGGATTTAAGTGTTATAGTTTTGTTTTAACCAAGCAACACAGTAGATTTCAGTGTTATAGTTTTGTTTTAACCAAGCAACACAGTAGATTTAAGTACTACAGTTTGTCAGCCTAGTGAGTGAGGCATAAAGAACCAGTTTTATTACGAGTTAACCAATTAACAACAGAGACCACTAAAACGTGAAACATTTTAAAAGTTTTACAAGCTTGTATGTTATTAAAGTTGAATAACTCCATTACAGACGCAACCAGTAAGGTTACATTACGGAGTGTTTTTTACCTTTATTTAGTGATGCCATAAAATATTCCCCGCACTTTAAGCTGGGGTGCGTATAAAATAGTCAATCTCTTAGTGTGGATGATGAGTGCTGCTGATCGGCTACCTTCCCTCTGGGCTATAATTCAAAATTAGGGACGATGACAAATAGCCTTAGTGGCTTTGCGATCAATACAACTGAACTCTCCTAAGCTGACCGAGTTTCATGGGATATTATTAGGATTACGGCCGAAAACACCGATAATGGCTAGTGTATCCAACTGATGCTGGAGTCAACACTTTCTTGACATTACACTTTTGTTTTCTTGCGATTTGTTTTACGACCTTACATTAGCTGACTTTGATAATAAATTATTGATTATATATATATATATGTATTTATTTATTATAAGAATGTGATTTGTTTAATTGTTGTTGGTTTTACTAGTGTATGTAGATTTTCCTGGAACAGATGAAATCCCACTAGTGTTTATGACAAGTGTAGCAGAAGGTCGACGTTTATGGAACATCCGTGTAACATACATTAAGAACAACAGCCCTCTTCGTGGTACGTATATACAGCTTTTCTTATCATAAATATTCAACACTTTGTCTCAAATAATACTCGTTAAAAAAATTTCTGGGCAACATTATTATTACATAAATGTTAAAAGGGTGTTATGTGAGTGATGAAACTCCTTTATAACAGAAAAAACACGTATAATTACGATGAACAAAGTAACAAGAAAATGAGAAATATACATGTATCGGAAAGTGAACCTTTAGGGTTTAATATTGATGAAAATGTTGGTTTTAATATGTCTTTATAAGAAATATGAAGGTGTCTTGTTCAAGGTAGACTAAAAAGGGCCTTTTCATACTTTCCTGAATAAAATAATGATAAAACAGGTTAAATATTACTTATGAAATGGCGTTAACATAGTTATCTAGTTGTCCTTTTCTGTTATCCAAGTTGTTGCATGTTTGAAACGTGTCTATAAAAAATTATGGATCACGTTGACTGTAAGGGAAAAATTTAAATTTTCAGCTCCAAGTGGATGCCTACAGTACCACACAGGGGTCACGGGACGCTCGTCCAGTTTTAACTTCGACAGTCCAGCTAGTGACATTTCTCGCCACTTAGCCAATCAGAATTACGCGGTTTGCGTTCGACAAGAAGCAGGATACTGTAGTATTCGATGGACAGCCCAAACCTTCGAGATGTCCAGAAACGTGAACGAAGGAAAAGCAAAACAAGGCCCGTTTTGCCAGGGAGACCGTGTTTTAATTTTAGAAGCAGCACCCGAGGGTGGAACCGCCTCGCAAGACCGATTTTGTGGAACTCGTCTCAATACACAATTAGATGCAACAGAAAATGTCCCTTTGATTAGTAAGTCTTGTGGTTCCTGAATTTATAAATTCAATTAATTGAAATAATATTGTACTAGCAGAGAACCCGCTGAACATTTGCACTTAAATTAGTATCTTTATCACAACAGTACTTTTCAAAAACAGGATTTCTGGAATGACACAAAAGAATTCTAATAATGAAGTGGGTGCGCATGCGCATTTAGATAGTAAGGTGTGCGCGTAGTAATAAAAGATTTGTTTATTTGAAATTAAGCACAAAGCTACACAATGTGCTATCTGTGCTCTGCCCACCACGGGTATCGAAACCCGGATTCTAGCGTTGTAAGTCCGCAGACATGCCGCTGTGCCACTGGGGGACGGTAATAAATGAACACAATATATTCTGTAGCAGTTGGTGAAAAAAACCACAGTAAACGGAACGAGCTGTCAGTAGTCTGATGTAAGAGAAACTAGCTTCAATATATTCGTGCGTTCTCTGCAGCTTTACGTTGTGTGCGCGTATTTCCAGGACAGACAAAAACTAGTTATTAATATAATAGATAACAAAATCTCGTTAAAACCTATAATTATTATTATCACAAGTGCTTTAACTATTTTGTTTGACCTAAGCTGTCATCCCAAGAGGGTTGTTGTTTTTAGCGCACAGCTACAAAATGGGCCATTTGAGCTCTATCCTCTACGGGGAATCGAACTCCAGATTTTAGCGTTGTAAATCCGTAAACTTAATTTGACCCACCGGGAAACTCCCAGATGTGGAAAGTGAAATTTCTTAATATTTTGATTTGTAATATAGTTAAGAATAATCGTTTTATTAAGCGAACTGTAATATTTTTTTCCAGCGATTTATTTTAACGTAAAGGGTCTTTGATGCCACTGCAAAAATAAGAAAGTTCTGTTCACTATAATGCAAGTTTAATCGCGCAGAAATCTATAATATAAAACATCATTTTTTCTTAAAACTAACTAGAGGTTTTCTCCAACAGGTTCTGCTGTTCCCTTTCTTCTACAGATGTTTACAACTGGTGAGGAAATAGCTGGCACGTTGAATAGAGGTTTCTCCATGACGTTCAATCAACTTCCTTGCAGTTCTTAGATTTGCCATTTTGATTAAAAGATTATAAAAAAACGACCTTTATTTGTTGTAACAAAGTTAAATTCTTGAACTGTATAAAATATCCCCCATTAAAAAAAAACCTTACTTGGCAATTCAGTTATTGTTACAACAATTCAGCTGTTAGATACCGGAGAAAAGGCTTAGGAGTTATTTTTCATAACCGTGTACTTTGGTTTGTATTTATTGAATAAAGAATTACTGTGAAAAATTACAGGGTTGTTTGTTGTATATTATATTAAATCATAGTTTAAATATGTCTTACTTTTAATTAAACGCTCCCTATCGCACTGTGATCGATTTACGAAAGCTTGAAGGAATATCAGGCAGGCGACAGCACTGTCGATGTAGGGATTGTTCGTCAAAATGGTATTTTAAATATCTTCTCAATAGGTCATCAGAACTTTACAATACTATACAGTACTTACTTTTATAACAATATGTATGTAATGACCGAATCGCAAGTTCTGGACATGTCTGTAAACATCATAATAAACATTTATTTTTTTTGTTCTTCTGCTCCCCTCCTCCCCATTTATTACACAACTTAAAAACCAAGGTGTCAATTAATTTCACAGAGGTGATAGTTTAAACCGGAGTATCCACTTTTGAAAGTTTGAATTAAAAAAACAACAACAAATAATTGACCCTCGAGTTTAAGCTTAAGTCTATTCAAATACTGCATTAAAAACAACTTTTAGGAATGGCTAATCCTTCTTACGATTTCCTCTATAGCAAAGTTTAGGCCAATAACATTCGAAAAACGTTAAATTCTCACGAATGGCACTTTTCCCATAATCAAGGTTAAAGGTTGCTGTAAACCATTGACGATTTTTTTTTTTTTTTATTTAGTAGACATTTCAGTTAGCGCATAAAACAGAATTAAGCTTTGTTATCTAAAACAATTAAGACCCCCCCCCCCCACGGTAAGAATCTCGATGTGCAGAATTGCAAATTGATAAATTATTAGCAGTGAACAGGACGTAATGAAAAAAAAAGTAAACGTAACTCAAGAAAATCCTTTATTACAGTTTTGGAAGTACATATATTACGCAATACTGAAACATAAAACTGGAATATAGTATGGAAGCCAGAATCTTTATTGAAAGCATAAACGAAATATTTGGGGTACTCACCCCCCCCCCCCCCAATAGAAACTCTAGAACTCTTCTCCTTCGTCTTCTGCCCCTTCTGTCGAGTCGAGACCAACCTCTTCGTAATCTTTCTCCAGTGCTGCCAAGTCTTCTCGAGCTTCAGAGAACTCCCCCTCTTCCATGCCCTCCCCAACGTACCAGTGTACAAACGCTCTCTTGGCATACATGAGGTCAAACTTGTGGTCCAGTCGTGCCCAGGCTTCGGCAATGGCAGTGGTGTTGGACAACATGCAGACAGCACGTTGAACCTTAGCAAGGTCACCTCCGGGGACAACAGTGGGTGGTTGGTAGTTGATGCCCACCTACACAAAATAGTAAATAGTTACTTTTACAAGTCAATTTATAGCACACAGCCAAGAAATACGTTTACATTAGTCCTTTCTAACGATCGGGGTCAACAATAACACCCTTAGAAATGGTTCATTATAAATTGTATTACCTTAAATCCTGTTGGACACCAGTCCACAAACTGAATGGTTCTTTTAGTTTTAATGGCGGCAATGGCAGCGTTCACGTCTTTAGGAACGACATCCCCTCGGTAGAGAAGACAACAGGCCATGTACTTGCCGTGTCGAGGGTCGCACTTGACCATCTGGTTGGCCGGTTCGAAACAAGCATTGGTGATCTCGGAAACGGTGAGTTGCTCGTGGTACGCCTTCTCTGCCGAAATTACAGGGGCGTAAGTGACGAGGGGGAAGTGAATACGAGGGTAGGGCACCAAGTTGGTTTGAAACTCGGTGAGATCGACATTCAGGGCTCCATCGAACCTCAGAGATGCCGTGATGGAAGAAACGATCTGGCCGATCAACCGGTTCAGGTTTGTGTACGTCGGACGTTCGATGTCCAAGTTACGTCTACAAATATCGTATATGGCCTCGTTGTCCACCATGAAAGCACAGTCCGAGTGCTCCAAGGTCGTGTGAGTGGTCAGAATGGAGTTGTAAGGCTCAACAACGGCAGTCGCTACCTACAAAAAAAGAAAAAAAATTAAACAACAAACTTACAGCTAACAAGATAGCCGCAAGTACATCATTTATAGACGACACCAATAACTGATGAATATAAATGTAACGTTTACATACCTGAGGAGCTGGATACACAGAGAACTCCAGCTTTGACTTCTTTCCATAGTCCACGGACAACCTTTCCATCAACAAGGAGGTAAATCCCGAACCTGTACCACCACCAAAGCTATGGAAGATGAGGAAACCTTGGAGTCCCGTACACTGGTCAGCCAACTTACGGATCCTGTCCAGAACCAGGTCAACTATTTCTTTACCGATAGTGTAATGACCCCGAGCATAGTTGTTGGCTGCATCCTCCTTGCCGGTTATCAACTGTTCTGGATGGAACAGTTGTCTATAGGTACCGGTCCTAACCTCGTCAACTACCGTGGGCTCTAGATCCACGTACACAGCCCGGGGCACGTGCTTCCCAGCCCCCGTTTCACTGAAGAAAGTGTTAAAAGAATCGTCACCTCCACCAATGGTCTTGTCACTTGGCATCTGACCATCAGGCTGAATACCGTGTTCTAAACAGTACAGTTCCCAACACGCATTCCCAATCTGGACACCGGCTTGACCAACATGGATACTAATACATTCACGCATCTTATATTATTTTATCAGAAGAACGAATTCTGAAAGAATAATTATACATCAATTTTTTTGGGTTGCTAATAAATAAATAATAATAATAAAAAAACTGAAGGATTTACTATCATCAATCACCTTAACGTTAAATGTCACTAAACTTGAATTTGGTCTCCAAGAAAATATACAAAAAAGTTAAAAGTTTGGTTAAAATTTGCACGTTCTAGAAATGACGCAACAGATACTATACCAAGTAAATCAAAACCAAACATGATTAAGAAACACAGTTTCTTTAAAATTGTACAATACAAACTTTTATTTTTAAAAAGTTATTAGAATAGCGAGCAATTAATTATATCATACAAGTGCAAATTGTAATATTTTAATGATCGTGTGACAAAGTTTTATTACATGCCACCACGACCCATCAGACCCGAATTATCGTGTTTAAAGATAAGCCTTAAATAAGTTGACTGGTAGGTTTTTTAAATTACTTCAAATAATTTTGATTCCAGTATCAAACCATTCACATTCCGACCTTTAACAAATATAATGAAAGCGTTAATTTATTAAAACTTAAAAATAAGAATTTTCGTAAAACTAAGTTTAATTCCGGTTGAAAGGTTTAATTTTTCCTTGCTGACAACATTTAAATTTATTTTAAAATTGGTGTAATGAGATGTACGGTCCTACATTCTACCTCAAAAATTAAGTAATTAACACATAAAATGGCGTCAAGAAATTAAAAGCTTATTTTTAAATTAATCTATAATGAAATACACAAGATTAATGACCGATCCCAGTTACCTTGAAAATTAATTTCCGGTTTATGACGCAACGCTTTCTTAAGATGGCTACGCTATTGCAGAACCAATAAAAAAGCACCGATTTGTATATCAGTAAAAGGCGCGTAACGGACTAATGGCTTAGTATGGTTCCTACTGTGAAGCGGTATGATAAACGTTCCGATAATGTTCGCTATTGGTTATTGTATGGTAAATCAGATAAAAATTTTGAAGGCGTGAAACCGATGAAAATGGCTGCATAATTATTGAGAGAATAAATCTCCAAAACATCAATCAATAATAAAAGAATTAACTTTTCTACAACTACATACGAAGACAAGAACTTGAAGAAGCCATTTTGTGATGACTTACCGACAACCTTACTCAAAATTGCTACTGCTCGCAGTGTGAAGTAGCTTTTATTTTTAAGTGTGAATCTAAAAATTACCATAAAAACACGCCCCAGCCATTCACGTATGACTAACAAGTTAAAACAACTTGTGTAAAAGACAATTTAATGCTATGAATATTGATAAAAATAACAGTGAACATTAGGGTGAAAACACAGACAGGTCGAATTACTACTTCAGTAGTGGAAACGAAGTCAGTTAGTACAAGTTGTATTTGTACTTACGCCATAGTTGTACAGTAGTTAAGAGAAAAAAAAAAAAAAATTGTCCGATTTTTTGAGAAGCCATCTACATTAAATCTATATATTTTTTTTATGGCCATTTATCTTTAAATATCCGAGGCTTTTTTCATCCCACTAAGTAAATATATTAATCATAAAAATAATGACAATATGGCGAACTCCAGATTAGTGACGTCACACGAAAAGCCTCTTGAAATTTGAACTGAGGCGAAGCGAAATACACGAACGGTAAACCACGATTATTAGATTAACTTTAGGCTTTAAGCGATGACGAGATGTCCAAACACGAGTCAACATTTCATGGTAAAATCTATTAGTAGTACTGTAATAATAATTACAGGAGAGGATGACATTGAATTGATACTATGAATTAAAAACTAATTCGAAAATTCTTACTAGTACTACTACTACCAGTTCATATAAGATAGAATTTTCGAGAACATTTTCTAAATTTAAGTCTTAAGCCTACTTAATCTGATCCTAATATAACATCACGTATTTTTTTTGTGATATAACTTTTCAGAATTGTTACTAACTTGCAATCAACTTCAAACATACAAGTATTATAATTTATAAAGTTTCACTTAAGTTATAATAAAACTCATCGAATTCTAAGTAGTCCTAATTTCTTACAGTATACAGGCATAATACACTTTCCTTTTGAAAAAAAAGTTGTAAAAACCAGAAATACTTATTCAAAATAATCCGTTTCCAAGTTAAATTTTTGTCTTTGACAAACTAATTGCAATTTAACACCGATATACTTACTTTTCAATAAAAACTTAAGTCTGACTTAATAATTTGTGTTGCGAGTAGAGTTACGATCCTCGCCACAAAGAACTATAACGGTAAATTTGTTGTGCGTCAGTTTATAATCTAAACTAAACCAATCACGTTACTCCATCTCATGGAGCTTGCAATCTAGAACGCACGTGACTTAACTACCCGTCTAACCGCAGCCGATCGAAGAAGTTATAACAAATATAATCGATATATTTTAATATGTGATTTTCAGAAATAATTAACAAAATGAGTTTAATGAACTATTTAAAAAATATATATAGAAATAAGTACAGTAACGAAAAAAGTTGAAAATCTCATGAGTTCAATATTCAAACACCATGGAAAACACGAATGTAGTATCTGGTTCGAACCGGATTGCACCACATTACTTAATAACAAAACAAAAAAAAGGCGCCGAGTGAATGAGTGTGTCATGTGAAGTTTTAGTTAAACTGATAATAAAGGGAGGGAAATATAATTAACCAAAAGTTAATTATATTTTAATAAAGTTTAATATATTTTTACTTCGGGAGAATGACGTTTTGAGCTGGCGCTTTTCGCGTAATCGGTTATAACAAAAGCTATGTGCAAAATTTGAAATTTTGTGCAGAGCATTTTGAATGTTGATTAAAAAATTTACATAAATATTACAAGTTGTAAAAGAAATTAAAATAGAAAATAAAAACAGAGATTTAAACTGAACTTGTAATACATAATAGAAAAATTGAAATTCCATAAGCAGAAACGTTTATTTAAATCAGTTGATTTTAGAGTTCTCTGATTCTAGTTGATTTCATGATTGTTGGTGGTAAAATATATATATATATAATATGATACTTAGTATTTAAGTTAGGAAGGTTAATATGGTTTAATAAACCGCATTGTTGAGGAAGCTGTGAAGTGTGATAAACAATCTTACCGATTGCCTTCAAAGTCAAACAAAGCGCAGCTTTCTTGAGAACTATAGAGAGGTTATTGAGGTTTAGGTAATTATCACTGCTGTTGTAACAACCATCAGCAAGCATTGGTAAAAATGTTTAGTTCATTATGATTACATGTTCTTACCCATAATTTACCTCCTAGTTTTTTTAATATCTCTCACCTACATTAACACTAGTGTTTTAAACCAAAAGTTATCAATCAGCCTTCAATATATCTCACCTACATTAACACTAGTGTTTTAAACCAAAAGTTATCAATCAGCCTTCAATATATCTCACCTACTTCAACACAATAGTGTTTTAATTTATAAGTTATCACCCATTCTTCAATATGTTTCACCAATTTCAATGCCAGAACCCTGTCCTGGGTGAGGTGTAAGATATTGATTTTTACATATTGCTCTGTTATACTGAAAACTTGTTTTTATGTTAAGAACACTTTGGTTGTGATTTTTTTACATATTACCCTGTTATACTGAAAACTTGTTTTATGTTAATAACACTTTGGTTGTGTCTTATGTAACACACCCCATGTAGTAACTTATCTTCAACTGGACTGTCAGAACAGCAAGCTGGGACGTAGAGAGGATGAAGTCAAGATCTGACATTGACTAAGAACTACTCTCTGGGGTCATGGAAGCTTGATAGGAACCTTGCAGCAGTGAGCAATTGATTTGTTTGAAAACGTAGAGTACGAAGCTTAAATATCTAATGAACATAAACTTTGTTTGACCTGAAGACTGCTTCGTATCAACCCTTTCAGCCTACTTTTAGTTTCATTCCGCACCCATTTAACTTTGTTATCCATTCAGATTTTCCAAGTTTTATTAATTAATCTATTAATTAACTTAACAAAAATCAACTCCTGTCTTTTTAAACCAGGTATAAGGAAATAATAACGTAGGAGTTAAGCTTAGAAATTGCATTAAAACTGTATATTACATGTATTATTTAGTATGTTAGTATTTACTACATTTCAAAGAACTTTTTTTGTAAGAAATCCAATTATAAATGTGTATAGAAATTTTTTTTTATTAAGTTACAAGAGTATTGAGGAGTGAATATACACATTTATAAAAGTCCAGTCCTGTGAGGATACTTACAAGTTAAGAAAGAGTAAAAAAGTCACACTTGTGTTATTTTTATGCCAAAAAAATAACAATAAACCGATTTGTTTCTATAACATTACGGTGCTTCATTTATGTAATATTTACTCTTATGTATTGTTTTTAGCAAATCCTTGTTAATCTTGGATTCTGGGAAGAAGCACTGGAGGTGCCAGAAATGGGGGCACTTGCAGGCTTATGAAGCAACAGATAAATGGAGGTACTAACACTGACAAGCCGACTACCCTTCTTATAGAACTGTTTTTATTATATGATTACCTTCACAAGTAAATTTGTCTAAGTTGAAATAACCACCACATATCACATTATCAACTCTTTGTACTTATTGTCAGTTAGATTCACATCTATTTTTACTAATCTAGGTAATAAGTTGTCAAGAACACAAATGGAGTTTGACACGTGAACTCAAAAATAGATACTGATGTTGAGAGGTATAAAGGCCCACAGCTTTTGGGTTGAAATTTATTAAATAACACTTCGATATGCTGTACACAATATTCTAGTTTTGTTTATAAAAAGGCTTTTACAGATTCTGATACGAACAGTACAATAGCTAAGTTACTTTGTCTTTTTGTTTTCTCCAATGAAATGGGACCATCACTTCTTTTGAGGCCCAAATATTTCAAAATTAGTATGTAACTAGCTAAGGTTGCAACTGTACATTCTTTAGTAGCCGTGAAAAATTAATTCAAATATTCAGAGAACAGTTTTTCAAGAACAAAACTTAAAAGATGCCTTCAGAACTCTTAAAAACTTTGTTTAATATATTAACATAGAAGTAAAGAATGTGGTATTTTATTTTGTAGAATTTCTTCCAGGTAATCATTTGGACGTCCATTATTATCTGTTCAGTTACTCGTAGTAAATGTCTGTAGAGAGTTGTTCAGAGATAAAGTTATAAATTCATACTGGTGTCTTGCGTATCTATTTAGTGTCTATTTTTGTTAAACTACAAAAAAAGTTTGTGTTGCTTCTGAACTAAAGAAAAATAGCCAAGTAAAAGTTTGTTTGTAACTTGAATTTATTATAATACCTCAGAGTATATTACCAATAAAATTTGTCATAGTTTTTATAATGTACAGACTTTAAAATTGTTAAATATAAAAGAACAAAGTCTCTCCAGTTTCTTTATTTTTTTCCATGATATAAGTGATATTTTGATAAAAGTTTGTTTGTAACTTGAATTTATTATAATACCTCAGAGTATATTACCAATAAAATTTGTCATAGTTTTGTTATAATGTACTGACTTTAAAATTGTTAAATATAAAAGAACAAAGTTTCTCCCGTTTCTTTATTTTTTTCCATGATATAAGTGATATTTTGATAAAAGTTTGTTTCAAAGAGAACTTTTGGTAGCATGTTTACTAAGTAAATAGTTTTTATGGAACTTTCTCTTTTGTTTTTGGATTTCTTAACTAAAGGAACTGAGCATAGAGTCCAAAACATCCTCTTCAAAATGACAACGATTTCTTCTTTATGTGTTAAAAGATGGGAATTTCTTGTTATAATGTGGCATGGTTTTTCTTTAGGTGTTAGAGATAGATAGAGATTTCTATCTTTAACACCTAAAAAATAAAATTTCTTTTTTATAATGTATTAGAGATGTAAAGCCAGTGATTTATTGTTATAACATGTTAAAAAGATGTTGTAACATGTTAGTGTAGATGGAGATTTCTTGTTTAGGTGATAAAGAAAGGTTTCTTCCTATGTTAAAAAACTTGGAAATTTCTTGTTATAATTACATGTTAAAGGATGAAGATTTGTTGTTATAATTACATGTTAAAGGATGGAGTTGTTATAATTACAAGTTAAAGGATGGAGATTTGTTGTTATAATTACAAGTTAAAGGATTTTAACTTGTAATTATAACAACAAATCTCCAAATCTTCATCCTTTAACTTGTAATTATAACAACAAATCTCCTTCTATTAACATGTAGTTATAACAACAAATCTTCATCGTCTCCATCCTTTAACATTGTAATTATAACAACAAATGTTAAAGGATGGAGATCTTCATCCTTTAACATGTAATTATAACAACAAATGTAATTATAACAACAAAATCCTTTAACGGGAGATTTCTTGTTATAATTACATGTTAAAGGATGGAGATATGTTGTTATAATTACAAGTTAAAGGATGGAGATTTGTTGTTATAATTACAAGTTAAACGATGAAGATTTGTTGTTATAATTACATGTTAAAGGATGGAGATTTGTTGTTATAATTACATGTTAAAGGATGGAGATTTGTTGTTATAATTACAAGTTAAAGGATGGAGATTTGTTGTTATAATTACATGTTAAAGGATGGAGATTTGTTGTTATAATTACATGTTAAAGGATGAAGATATGTTGTTATAATTACAT